TTAGTATACCGTTATAATGAAAGATATCATGTCCGTAAATTTGCTTGCATTTAGCCATAAACGAATGCAAGTTCTCTCCAAGAATTCTCTTCAAATTCTCCTAGCATGTAAGTACGAATCACAAAATAGGTTAGGAAAAAGAACTTATGACTAAGAGGCGTATACTTTATATATAAGCAAAGAATCGTCTCCTTACGTGAAGTCCAGACAAGCAGTATTCTTCCGTTTGGGACCCAAAAAGGAGGCCAACGGCTTTTAAGCGCAATACAAGATTAAATGCTGGCAAACAATGCCTTCCCTGTTTAAGTCACTGGTGAATTTCGCAGACCAGAAATGATTCAGTGTTCAGTCTCAAATGGAAATGTTTCAGGTCTTTTGTGAAGATATACTAAAATAAACGTGCACGAGAACAACCTTATTAGCCTTCTCTTCAATATCATCTACCTCTTCTTCTGCGAAACCGCTGGAAATGAACTGTGCAAGAAACAGATTTGAACAGCAGACCCATACTAGAGAAAAGAGAAAATGCTAGGAAGCAGATATAGCGCTGGTAATCGAAGTGGATTAGATAAATTCCTGAAACAAAACAAACGTTTTGTGCGAAAGAAATTAACAGTAACTGCTATAAACCATTCTGCTAATTACTTTAGCAGAAAGGTATCCGATATCCTTCTTGTGCTGCAAACATGCTAAACAAGTCTGTAAGTAACGATAAACGCTTCTCAGCAGATAGCATTCAACAGTTGTTTATGTCATCAATAAATTTGAGTTTCTTAAAGCAGATCTGCAGGCAGTTTAGGAATTGTGATGCTTTTGGAATGCTTGGTTTCTTGATGACGACAAACCGTTTTACTATGAATAGCGACCATTCAACTTCATGGCATACATATAGCATCCCATTAATATGCCTATAATTAACAAATCTGAATAAATTCATTTTGAGGAAGGTTCAGGACAATTATGAGTGTTCTACAACATAAAAGAACGAATCGACATAAATCAGGGATTATTAAGGATTACTAAAGACATTTGAAGACACTCATTTCAGCGTTTCTTTAGAAGCCTTTCAGCGGAGAGAATCATTCCTTCGATATCGTTGTTTTCAAAGAAATACTGAAATAGATTACGAAATAAAAATATGCGGGGATGTTTGAAAAATAGAAATGTCTTTGCTGTAGTCAAAAAAAATCCACTGTAAACAACAAACAGGAATCTCTAAACCTTTGTAGTCAACATCTCTATGAGATTCGTCTCGAATATATAGCCAACCGGAATCCAATTCAAAAACCGCAGTAGCGTGGTCAACGTCGACAGGACCAATTGTACGTTCGGAGAACTTTCCTAAACAAAACCATTTATCAGTTACATCAGTGAAAATGCGGTTAAAAAGTTACCAAGATATACTGACAGAGCTGAAATACCGCTTGAAAATCACCACAGAACTGCTGCTTTCGATGGTTCGCCTGAGCTTGTGTCATCTGACCGGTCGAAAAGTCGAAAACTTCTTCACTAAAGCATTCTTCATGAGCGAAAAGAAAAAAAACATGAAGTTAAACAGAATGGAACTGTTTAGAACAAATTTACAGAAATTCCCAGGGCTTGAACATTCAACAATAAAAGATAACAGCGGTGGCATCATCATTGTCATATGCAGATCACAAAAACAGCTCTGAAAAGCAAAGAACACAATACATAAGTAAAAAATACATGCTGCTCGTAAGAGAGATGATTAATTAGAGGTAAATCAGAAAAATCCTCAAAATTAGTAAAATTCAGCACAACGATAGATCAAACAATCTGGGTATGTATACAATACATGAGAATGCAAGAACATCCGCTGAAATGGCCTGGACATAAAAAAAGAATGGAAAGAAACAGACTGCCAGTGAAAGCTGTGGGAATGTGTGTTGGAATCTACAAAGGAAGAGTAAACTTAAAAAAAGAATTCGTTCAACGGTAAGGAGACATTAAAGAAGTATCTGAAAAACCAGCATTAGAAACTTATGAACGGAAAGCAACCTGGAGAACAAGCTGAAACTGGCTAACTGAATCAACCTCCCAAATAATGGAAAAAATCAAAACTACAGGAAACTGCCAAGGCTGGAATACGAGCAACCTATATGGGTATCATAAAAGTGTCAATACTCGTATTTTCATGGACAACTTTGATGGTTTATATGGTAAATAATTATCTGCACTGTAGCCATAATCAATCAATTCGCGCATTGGGGTACTTCCTCATCATTTATTACTATGATACTACTGTTGAGCTCAATTTCAAACACACTATTCGTCGATAAATTTAAATTACTAATACAGGGTAAAATTTAATGAATTCAATCAGTATTTCTACTGATCGACTTGCTTCACCTTGGCTTGTTGAAGGTGCAAAAGAAAAATATTAAAGCTGTTAATACTGTAGCCTTTTCTAGTTTATGTACGGAAAAGTAAAACTCGAATAAAACAGAAGAAACATATTTAACCGTTCTTAATCACTTGAACAGTAAAATCATCTGCGTATGAAACAAAATCTTAACCGATCACCACGGGTACCTGAGAAGTTTCAAAATATTCATGTTATTCTGGCACAACGCTTCGTTCGATCGACTGGCGCCGACGATTTCTGTGATGAAGTTTGGCCAGTTCATCGGCCACTCGCGCTTGACGATCTGTCCAAGTATGCAAAAAAAAGTCAAATGCAAAAAAGTTAAAAGGTTCAAAAAATTTATCAAATATTTAAATAAAAGCAATAAATTAAATTATTTTAGATCCATTCAAGAAAGGGGAGTTCTTTGCCAGTACTCAATTAAACAACAGTAATACAATCTATCCTCGAATGTCAGACTATCGACAGTCATCTTCGATAATCTACGAACGGAAAACCCTCTTCTACCCAATGATGATGAACGGAAAGAACGGTAAGTGTGCAAACCGTGAAAATGACGGTCTTCTTTTCTTACAATTTCATGAAAGGGATGATATCTAGCCTCCTTCATGAAGAGAATGGTGGAGCGCTGA